TATTGATTTAAGCATACGAATGCCTATGTACTCTTAAAATAGAGGGCATAAAACAAAGTTCTTTTATTTTTATCTTATTCTTGTCCAAATGATGAGTTAATTTTATCGTTTGAAAGTTAACAAAAACTTCAAATGCTTGTGCCGGAATAAACAGGAGACGTCCTCTTCAAGAGCACCGTAAATATAAGGGCCCTCTCTTATGAAACCCTCATAGTAAAGGGTAGATTCCGGAAGAGTTTACGCCTGGAATCAAAAGCTATCAGATGGGAAAAAAACACCTGAAGCTTTAATCGACTAAACATAAAAGGAATATTTTTGCATGACAATTAAGTAAAAAATTCTTTATTTATTTATCAAGTGCCAAACTTGGTGAAAGGTTTGGCATAATTAAAAAATACAAAAAAGAAAGAAAAAAAAAGAAGAATTTATACATCGTTGCCGCCAGAACCCAAAGGGAGAGATGGATCTACATTTCCCGCAATAGAGGAAGGCGGATTCACTATCGGTTCAGGGCCTTCGTCTTCTTCAGTATCCTCTTCAATTCCCGAGTACTCGGAACCAGTAATCGTGGAGTCGATCGCAGTAGGCCGAACTGGAAGATTTTGATGAGCAGATAATTCCAGTTCCTAGGCTGAGCAGTACAATAATCTATGTTGACGATGAATGTTTTGGCCTCCTCCAAGGTCTTCCTATTCATATGATATAAAGCATAGGTCTTCTCGAAGATGAGGGAATCCTCTTGATCTTGGAGTTTGGCCTGAAATTTATCGATTTTGGCCTGGATCTCTTCTTTTTCGGACTACATGGCGCGGAGGCGGGCGTCGAGCTCAACATTTGTAGTTGAGTGAAGCCGGTTTTGGTCCATGGCCCTCTTAAGCCTCTCTTCTATCTGGGCCCTCTTCTCTTCGACAGCATTGGCCTCCTGGATTTTGGAGCATAAGCTGGCCTTCAAGATATTGATTTGCTCCTCGAAGGAAGACTCACGCTCGGCAGCAACAATTAAGCATCGTGAAGTTCTGCCCACTTAGCCTTAGCTTCCTGAATGTTTTCATGTAATTGGGCAGCTTCTTGGCTGTGGACCATACTATCTTGTTCGCCCTGCTGCAACCGAGCCTCAAGCTCATCCATCTCTGCAGCTTTTGCCTCCGGCATTGGGAGGCACACATCAAGCTGGTTTTTCTCAGCCAAAAGTTGATCCTGATCGGAAGCAAACCCTTGTTTGTCAAGGATCAACCTTTGTAGGCACTCAGAAACTAAGAGGTTGGCCTAGAAAGAAGATATTAGAATTAAGGCTACCATTGCAGCGTATACACGTCAAAAAAGAAAGAGATAGAGTGAAACTGGTAGAATACATGTGCTGCACTAGGCATGCCATTGTTTATCACGCACTCCCCAAAAAGGGAGCCCATTTTCTTCCAATCTTTCCCTGAAGCCAGCGGCTTCCGATAATTCACAAGCTCCACCGGCTTGGATAAAAGATGACACTCTTCTGAAATCGAAAGAGTGCCACTCCTTTTCTCTCGAGGATCTAGAGGAAGGGGTTGAATAATCGTGCCCCAAGTTCCTATAGTCGGGAGACCGAGGAGGAGAAGCACCCCTTTCTCGATTAGCTAATATAGGTGGAAGAGAGGCAGTTTGTGCCGGTGGCGAAGGAGCAGCTGGCGTTGATGTGCTGGAAGTTGTTAGGGTAGAAGGAGAAGAAGCAATTGTGGTAGGAGAAGCACTGGTTGTTATTTGCTTAGTGGTCGGGAGGGCAGAAGAGGCCCAAGGTCCGAACTCCTTGGATCGGAGACAACAATGGGGCCCAGGAAGAGAGAATCAACATTCTCGACCAAGCCCATCTCACCCAAAGGGCCTCAACTTCATCTGACGTCGAGTTTTGAAGCTCACCCGGATGAGCATCTGGTTGAGCTGATGAAGATCCTTTTCTCCTTTGAAGGGGAGCCTCTTCATCACTGGCTTCCCCTTCATCAACGAGGACCACTGTGGCTATCTCGGATGACGTTTTCTTTTCCCCCTTCTCTTGAGTCCCAGCTGAGGAGGAGCGTCTTCTTTTTGGTTTCTTACTCTCGAGCTGGGGACTCTGAGAGGAGGCACCCTCACCGGTGGCTCGGGAAGATCCACGAGCTCTGTTCCGGTCAAGGGCTTTTTCTAACACCCTCCTGCCCTCCTCGGGGTCAACTAAAGCATCGAACTCGGGGCAGGTGATAGAGCACCTCGAAAGTCCTGTATCGGGCCAAATAGAGTTAGCAGTTTGTTTATGAAGATTTCTTGTGTTCGAGCAAGGGTAAAAGAAAGAAGGGTTTGACTTACCATGATGATTGGCCTTCCACCCATATTTGGGGGCCATCTCCTTCCACCGTCGGGATTCTAGAGTTGTAATTTCCAGAATTCTCTGAACCCATTAGTCCAGGCCTTGAACCCTTGGTGGTTCCCAGCAAGTAGTTGAAATGAAGAAAATAGAAAATCAACAAAATCAAAAATGATCGTTTCACGGGGAAAGGAAGTGAATGACTGAAAACTTATGAAAGCGATTCGGGAAAAGTTGGAGTTGTGGTTGGGATGATATCCCTGGTAGCAATGAAGACGAATTATTCCATCCATCCACGATCGTTGTCATTGTTTACGCTGGTGAGGACAGAAAACCTTGGGAGAGTAAAGGTTCATTATGTGTGCAAGAGTTAGGGTTTCCCCGGTCTCTGTGCACAACTGGCGAAGGCAGGTCACCGTTCGCCATATAGATGGGCCCACATGTGCTAAGCAGACCTGATACTAGTAGGAGAAATCCAAAATTAAAGGACTCAACTCCAACGAGAATGGACCCAAGGTGAAGGGATATGTATAAACGTATGTAAACCACTCCTTAGAGTAGGTAGCTCGCTCTACCATGTCTGGGGCGAGGATATCAATATTTGGGCAATTGTAATCCTCCTTCACAGTTGGGATACTAGAAGGGCGAATGGAGGAGGGATACCAACGAACCGGCCAAGACCGACTGCCTTGAGAAGATGAGGAATGAGCTTTTCTTGGAGACCGTTTGCAGTGTTGAGTTGAAGAGGTATGATGGTACTAACAGTTGAAGGATCTGACTCAACGTCAATCTCCTTGTTTTTGTTCTTCTTCGGTCCTCCGCCAAAGAGAAGGCCGGTATTCCTAGGGGACGCAGTGTAGGAAGACATAATGGTATGAGGTTCGTAAAAGAGAAATTCTTGCTGTGAAAGTTGAAAGAAGTAAAAAAGTTTCTAAGAAAATGCAGAGAAGAAGAAAAACTTATGTAAATTGTGAAAGTGGAGACGTAAAAATGATGAATAGCAGAGAAGTTATAGACGCCAAAAATTGTGGTCATGATTACCTCGAATATCGGCAAAAATATTTGCTGAATCGTGGGGCAACACGTGTTCAGGGTATTAAATGCGAGAAGACGTGCATCTTTTCAAGCGTCAGAGACTGTTCAGGAACTTTTCCGCCAAGAAAGGAATCTTCACCAACTTCCCGATAACACTAAGATATGTCACTAGAAGTATGGGTGCTATCTGTATGAGGTATAATTGGATTATAACGGGTGGTCGAATAGTAACATGACACGTGGAATCGAATATAGGCTAAGGGCAATTTAGGGAACAACCAATACTGTAGACAACAAGTGTGTAACCGATATCATGTAAATCCCGAAGGGAGCGTAGTTGGTGGTAGAAGTTCAAAGGTTTGCCGTCGGAGAGCAATCATTGAGAGAATATGCACTAACTAAGTGAGAGACCGTTGCAGGGAATATTTGCATTCAAGGTCGGTTGTTACATGCTCATCAATGACTCTTTTATTATCATTTAAGAGGAGCTTGATCCTAGGATCTTGCTTCCTTAGGTAGAGCTATAGGTAGCAGGTCAGCGGCCATTGTATGAATATGAAAACTTTCTGCATATACACAAGCTTTATTTTGCTACTTTTTCTCTCAATTCAACAACTTTATTTGCACTTTATCATTATTTTCACTTTTGCTCTCGGAGACACTACGTTCAGAGTCAGGCTTGTTGTCTTCTTCAATTTCAATTGCTAATCTTAATATTAATCTTTTCTCTTTATCATTTTTCGGATCAAATCAATTCGCTTGCCTATAAACCACGCAACAAATTTAACTGTACTGTTTTGCGGGTAAACACATATTTTTTACTCCCTCTGTTTCAATTTAGATGACATATTTTCCTATTAGTCCATTCCAAAAAGAATGACACATTTCTACAATTGGAATAATTCAACTTTAAACTCTTCATTTACCCATTTTTACCTTTAATGAGAAGCTTTTATAACCACACAAATGTCATGAACCCACAAAGCTTTTAAAAAAATGTGTCATTCTTTTTTGAACAGACTAATAAGAAAAGTGTGTCATCTAAATTGAAACAGAGGAAGTAAATAATACAGAAGGAGTAACAATTTAGAATTTGTATAACCTTCTGCTAAAAAATAATCGAGGAAACACAAAGCTTTTTACCCCTTAATCTTTTAAGACCCAAGTTTCAAATTTTTTTTTTCTAACTCTGTGTCGAGTCAAACTACCTCATCTAAATTGAAACGGATGGAGTATATGATAGTGTATTGCCACTTGAATATGCAAGTTTTGACTTACGTAATTTATTAGTAGTTGTTGAAGAAAACAGTAAAGTAATTATTGAAAAGTTAGTTTGATAGAAAATATCATATTGAAGCTTAAAATTCATATCATTTAATGGATTTGAATTTATAAAAGTAAAGGAAGATAGAAATGGAATGATATTAGACACTTTTGAATACCCAAATATAGATAGAGTGACATAAAAATCTATACAATGAAGTATCTGAATTGAACATGGTTATAGCAATTTTTATTGTAAGTGCTTTGTATCTGTAGTTTCTTTAAAAAAAAATTAAAAACCTTAATAAATAGGGGTGAAAAGAAATTTATTTTTTCCACAAAAAAAAAAGAAAAAAAAGACTGCCAAAGTGGAATTTCCAACTGTCTCTTTATTGAAGACCAGAAAACTGGTTGGTTAGGAATTGGATACAGAAAATCTCTACTCCAAAAAAGAAAAATGGCGACGCTTTCATTTTCATGCTCATCTCCTTCTTTGAATAACCAGCCTCAAGCTCTGCTTCTTCGCTCCTCCCGTTTGCCACGTGTCCCCTCCTACTCTTGCAATCTTTACAACGGTTCATTTTTACTTCATTCTCCTTCTTTATCTTATTTGAAAGTATGACATTTAGCTCCACTAATTTTCTCTTTTTTACTTGTTCAGGTCCCAAGAAAAACGGAAACCGATATATCTTCTGCTGCAAGAATCCCGTGCCTGATACAAAAACAGGGTACTGTACCAAAAGTAGCAGTAAAGTGAACTTGATGGATAGATTTTGTTGATATAATGGATAAGATATAAATATTTACTGTTAAAGTGACCACAAAGTTTATAACTTTACTGTCATAGTGGGTAAAATTTTGTATTGCTACGGTGGATAAAGTTGAGTTACTTTAATTGAAAAATACATTTGTGATTTTACTATTATAATAGGTAAAACTCAATTACTTTAATGTGACAGAATAGTTTTGTGAGTTTATTGTTATCGTGAGTAAAGTTTGCTGATCATACGTGAAATTAATCTTACCTATTTTCTTTTTTTTTTTTGGACTTGCTTTATTCAGTTACCATTAACTGTGCCAATTTACGATCTGCTAGATCAATGATCAGAGCTTATTTGTTTATTTCTTGAATTGTGTTCCTTATTTGATCTGAATTTAAATAAATGGATAGTGTGCAAGTTAAAGAAGAATGTGTAACCAAGAGAAGAGAACTCCTGCTACAGGCAGGCTCTGTTGCATTTTCTCTGTCCGCTTTTAGTTCGATCGCATTGGCAGAGAATGGTACGCTTTGATTAAATTTTTTGCTTTGACATGCCCAATATACTTCATATTGTCTACTTGCTAAAAAAGGTGATGTTATTTCAGATGTCGCTGAGGATTTTCGTGTTTATTCAGATGATATCAACAAGTTTAAGATAATGATACCTCGTGGTACGGTTTCACATTCCATTTTTACTTCTTGAATGGCAAGTATTGTAGTTGCTCTTCATCAATGCAACCATGTGCAGAAGAGGGATAATTACGATTTCAGCATTTGCTAGTGATTGTTAATTCCGTAATAATATAGAGAATATTGGTATGTAATATGTAGGAACAAAAATAGGATCTTTTTGGCTTAGATATGGAGATGTAAAATTTTAAATCTCATAGTTCATGGCGAAAAGCATGATGGTAACCAGACGCGGAGCCACGATTTGAAAGTTATGGGTTCAAGGTTCTAATTTTTTTAAGTTACCTTCTAAATTAATAATTAGTACATACATAAGATAAATACAGAGTTTGGACCAAAGCTACTGGGTTTGGCCGAACCCGTAGCTGATGGGCTAGCTCCGCTCCTGATGGTAACGAGCTGAAGAATTACTTGCAGATTGGCAAATAGGCGCAGGAGAAGGTGATGGAGTGAGGTCGCTCATAGCTTTCTATCCTCAAGAAGCTTCTAATACAAATGGTATTAGCTGGACATTGTGATGTATCGGTTGTTTGAGCCTTAATATATTGTTGTATATAAAACTTGATCATCTGTTGCTTCAGTCAGCATTGTAATCACAAGCCTTGGTGCTGATTTCACCAAATTGGAATCTTTTGGGAAAGTTGATGCTTTTGCCGAGAATCTGGTGGGGTTTAGTCCATCTTTACTTTTGAAAAACTCTCCTTTTCTTTTATATTTTTGCTTCAGTTGGCATTCTTACTTCAGTTCTCAATGATTTGTTACAGGTTAGTGGATTAGACAGAAGCTGGCAAAGGCCGGCAGGAGTGAAAGCAAAACTCATAGATAGCAAAGCTTCTAAAGGTATATGATACAATCTAAAACACTCGATAAAACTTGACTGGTCGCCATGTTATCACATAGCTAAATTTCAGAAACTAAAGTGATGTTATCTCACTCCTTTGCGTAAAAGCTAGGCAGTTTATACTTGCTCGATATTTTGAGGTAATTTGAGTTTAAGGCCAGTGCTGATTGTCACTCTTAATCAGGGTTGTATTACATCGAGTACACTCTCCAAAATCCCGGTGAAAGTCTCAGACATCTATTTTCAGTGCTTGGGATAGCAGACAACGGGGTTTACAATAGGCTGTATACTCTCACTGGACAGGTCAGTTTAATGAAGCAAAAAGACGAGCATTAGACTTACTTACTTTGGCTTTTTATTTATCCATTACGAGAGGATGATGAAGAGTGTGATAGATTTTCTTTACGAGGAGACTGTAATTGATCGTAAGATTTAATTTATCTTGCAGTTTGTAGACGAGGAGGCAGAGAAATACGGTGCCCAAGTAGAGAAGGTAATTTAAGAGAATTTCTTCTGCTTTTGTGTATGCTAGTTTTTGAGTGAAGATATGCATCACAAAAATGTCTATATTCCCAATATTTAGGTCTTTATGATCATAATTAATATCAACTGGCTAGAACTGGTTAATAGATGGAAACTTTTGCTATGCAATACTGCTTTGAATAACATAACTTCATGTCTTAGACACTATAACAGAGAGCTAGCTTTTCAGACAAGAGTTTTGATGTGTGTATTTTAGAAACGTTTGTGATCTCTTAAGAGAATTGTTAATGCTTTTGTTAATACTCAGTTGATATCAACTTTTTTTTTTTTTTTTCTATTCTTACTAACTTGCCAAGAGTTCAATTTAGGAGAAACATATATTTTAGCCGCTCCCAAATATAATAGCCGACAAAATATATAGGTTTGTATATATGTATATTGTATATTATATACAAAAGATATACATATTTTATACACTTTTCGGCTAGCGAATGCAATTAGTTTAAGCCGACTGGCCAGCTTTGTGTTTTGCCCGTCACTTTACTACTTCCTCCGGTCCACTTTAAGTGATTTTTTAGCCTTTTCTTTGTGGTGCATAATATTCATTTTTCCAAAGTTGTCTTTAGAGTAAGGAGCCTAGGAATATTTGTTGTATTTTTAATGAACAAATTACTATTAATATGTGTAAAAACAACTAAAAGATCACTTAAAGTGGACCAGAGGGAATATTCATGTTTCTCCCTTCCCAACACCCTAGCTCTTGTGAATGAAAAAGCAAGATGTTGGGTACTGTTAAGTGATAGGAGAATGTACTATCCTCACAGTTTGCTCTTCTGTGATTAACTCTGACATAAATATTTGTGTCGCAATGCCCTCTTATTGTTCTGGTTTGCACATTAATTCTTTATCGTTGGTTGTTTGTTAAGTGATGATTTGTGCACTAATGACTGAGAAGGTCACCTAATCTAATACTTCTTTCGTTTCAATTTGTTTGAACCTATTTAATTAGGCACGGGGTTGAAGAAAGAAGAGAATACCATAGATATTCAAGGCCTAAAACAATCTATAGATATTTGTGTGGTTATAAACTATGTTGCTCTGACTCTCCAAAAATATCGTCGAGTATGTGTCGGATCCTCCGAAAGTAGTGCATTTTTGGAGGATCCAACACGCGTGCGGCAGTATTTTGGAGAGTCCGCGCAACATAGACTATAAATCATCTCATTAAGGTTAAAATGAAAAGTTTAAAGTTATATTCTGAAAGGAAATAATTTTTTTTTTTTTTTTTTGTTGGAGATGAAGGGAGTATTATTTTCAAGTGGATCCAAAAGTGTTGGACTTAAACATATTTTTAATCATTTGTCTGAATCTTCTTCCACTGTGCAGGCTGTTTCTTCTTTCAGAATAATATGATGACATAATAGCGAGCAATATCACAAATTTTGGCTCGAGCTTCTGGTTTGCTAATTTGTGAATGGCAAACATCATCGGTGAGATCAGCACAGTGGATCCTCCAAACCCCACATAAGAACATATTGTGGTTAAGGTATATTGTGATGACTTAGAGGGTGTTTGGCTAAGCTTATAAGCTGATCAAACTGGCTTATAAATACTTTTTGGCTTATCTACGCGTTTGGTAAAATTAAAAATGCTTATAAGTCAAAAATAAGCCAAAAGCTATAAGTTGGTCTCCCCCAACTTATCAAATTTCAGCTTATAAGCACTTTAGGTTTGACCAAAATATTTACTATTCTATCCCTAAAATACTTCTTTTTAAAACAAAACTCTTTGTATACCTAATTTTTTAGCTGCTTATTATTAATTTCAGCACTTTTATCCAAACACGTAACTGCTTATTTTTTAAATCAACTTCAGCACTTAAAATTGCTTTTCAGCACCTATGCTTATCATCTACTCTAAATCAGCTAAACCAAACGGCTCTCGCAAAATTTGGAGCTCTCGAAACGAACCAACTACTTAAATCAAGGTTTTTGGTCAAATATTAGAGTTGGCATTTTGCATATATCAATATACCAAAACTGTATGACAAATATGACCATGGTTCAGATGTAGTGCTTATACATTTGTCGGTTTTTTCAGGACCTCATCGGTAATTTGAGTTTTATAGTCATCAATGATGAATAGTAGATTAATAAATGTATAAACCAAATGCGCTAAATTGAATTGAGTTCGATTAGCACATTTCTGCTACAACAGTTAGTATACTTTAATCTTTTGAAGATTTTAACCATGACTTGATGACACCAAGCTTCGCAAGAAACAGATGCATAGTTCAGATTATCACTATTATGTCATTCGAGAAGAAGGAGCTGAAGGGGCAAATATGTCATTTGACACACAGGGGAAATAGGTTGAGTCCATTTATTAAAGGGAAAAGGGCCAATTACTATATCTTTCTACTTTTGAATATTGTCTATACTTAATCTCCGTTATACTATCCGGCCAAATTTATTCCTATTATTATATAAAATTTGGCCTAATAGTATAACAGAGGTTAGATGCAGATATTATTCGAAAGTAGAGGGAAAAATTTGGATCTTTTCTCTTTATTAAATACAGCTAATTATAGAGACATGCAGCTAAGACCGGTCTTATAAGATGCAATTTTTCAATGTATTAAAAAAATTGTAAAGCTTAAAGTTACACTTCAATAAAATTAAAGATTTTCTCTTTGAGATTTTTTATAAGGGAAATTACCATTTATGTCCATTTATAAGTAGCTCATTACAAAAATTGGCCAATTGATAAAATATTACTAATATTAGCCAAATTAGCCAATTAGCTATTTATACTAAAAAAAATATCAAATTTTTGCTTTGTTTTGAGTGAGTGTTATTAGAATAGATTGGGCACAACTTAAGGAGCTTGAATCTCAGTTTTGAGATTATTTGGTGAAGTTTTGAGGTGGTTTGAATTGAAAATTCGAAGTAAAAGCTGAACATGAAAAAAAATGATCTGTATATCATTTGTGTATCACATATGTATCATATTTGTATCGATTGTGTATCATATGTATATCCATGTATACCTGTGTGTGAGATACATGCGTGATACATGTGTCGCAGAAGACTTTTTTGAACTCGATTTAATTAAGAATTTTGATACAAAACCAGTCCAAATCACCTCCAATCTTCCTCAAGTTTTGTATATTGACTTATCTATATATTTTCAATGAATTTCAACTATACCCATTGAAAAAGTTCCTTTTTTGTTTAAATTTTTGGAATATTGTATAGATTTTTGTATTTCATCACCTTATTTGCTACCCCGTCCATGAAATTTCCTTTCCGTCTTGTATCTAATGTTGCTAATCACGCTTAAAATATGGAAGGTGATTTTTGCATGTGATTCTTTGATAGAAAGAACCCTATTATTTGGTTTTTCAATTTTTGTTGGCTAGTTTTGGTAAGTATATGACTAATGGATGGAGGTTGATAAGTTGAGATTTATTTGGGACAATTTGTGTAAGTTTCCCCTTTTAAAAATATCCTTTAACTTTTATGTGTTTAACTAGATTTGACGGAATGTTAGAGCTAAGACAGATACTAAATTCTAGAGAGAAAACACACGTAGCATGCAGTAATTAGTTAAAGAAATCAAAAGTTGAAGCTTTTTGAAAACTGAATTGTGTTTACCAAAAAATTTGTGAAGTCGACAATCAAGAACAATAACTTGAAAAACATCGTCAAACTGATTTTCAAAAAAACATAAACTTGCCAAAGAGAAAAAAAAAACATTTGCTAGTTCGAGTTAAAAAAATACTCCAGTTATTTTCATTGTCTCGTTTATTCTGCTTTGAATTATTTCGCCAATTTTGTTAGCGCAAAGTTCTAAGCAAAACGCAAATTGCAGGACAGGAGAAGTGGAAAAGATAAACTTATGACCTTAGTCAATGTCAAGTATTTCACATTCTAGCTGGGTATAAGGCATAAATATTCCCTAAATTTGTGTCATATTTGCAGTTAACACATGTACTTTACGGAGGTCCTATACTTATCATTTTTAAGGCCAAAAGGTAATGTGGAATTTAAATTCTGACATCATTCTCCATATTTGGGTTGGCAATCAATTTGGAATTCCTAGACTTTGCTCATTTTAATATACTAATCTATCATCGAACGAATTGGTATCGTATTTTTCGAAAGTGATCTTCTAACCAATGTGAAAGCAACTTGCATTTTCATTAATATTGAACATTTATGTTCTTCAACAAATAATTGCTAAAAGCATTGAGACCAAAATTTCTTTTAATCAATTCCAGAAGTGTTGGCTTGAGTAGGTTTTGTTTTGATGATTGACAAAGAAACACATGCATGAGACAGGTCCATGAACAGTGTACACAGGGCACGGGCAGATTCAAGCACAAGGCATGCACGTGAAGGGGATAAGCATAAGTGGTTATATCTGGTATCCCCTGAATGAAAATGTTGCATAATTGATAAGGAACATGACTCCTTACTTGAAGAGAACTCTATCCTAGATAAGGAAAGAGTTAGAAGTTAATGATAACTAGAACTCTTCCACCATGGAAGAGTAAAGTATTAGAACTCTAGTTAATCCTTATTCTACTAACTCTATATATATCAGATGTGTTCTGTTTTACAGGTGACGTACAAATGCTGAAGTTAAGCAAGAATTGAAAGCAAAATAGCAAGGTATTTTGCTAAGCAGTTCCTGTGTGTTTCAAGTGTGCGAACCTGAAACTACATGAACCAGATAGAAGAACCAATTTCAAGTGTATGTCTTTTATTCTAGTTCAATTGTAATAGGGATTTTGAGTTGTACCTTTTAGCTTTCTTTAGAAGCATTTGTACTAGGTACTTTTAGTTGTATTGTTCAAGTTAGAGTTAACTTAAAGCTGTCGCAACAGCCTGTGCTTGGTGGCTACAAGGAATAGAGGTAATCCTTAGGTTTACAAGAGTTTGTAAACATTGTTATTTTGGCTCAGAGTTATAGTGAAGTTCTGGGAAAAATCCTATTGGGAAGTAGGCCGTGGTTTTTTCACCTTTCGATCCGGGTGTTTTCACGTGAAAATACTTGTGTTCTTTACTTTCTGCATTTCTTATTCCGCAATTGTAGTGTAATGAACTCGTAGAAGAACCAGGTCCATCTATAATCTGTGCACGCGAAAAATTGGACACCGCACAAATAATTCCCCCCTCCCTTATTGTGTTGTATTGAAATACAAAACATTAATTGGTATCAGAGCAGGTTATCCTTGAAGAGGCTAACACCTTAGGAGAAGATCAAGATGAGTGCACCACCTGAAAATTGAGAAGGGCATCCGCTGTTAGGCCACACCACCTGAAAATTGAGAAGGGCATCCGCTGTTAGGCCACCACTCTTCAATGGTTAGTACTACTCTTGGTGGAAGACTAGGATGAGAGATCACATACATGCTGAGGACAACGAGCTATGGGATATAATTACTGATGGTCCACTGTCCACCTTGAAGAAAAATACTGACAGAGTAGATGTGCCAAAGACAATAGCTGATTGCACTGCTGAGGATTTGAAGAAGTGAAAAAAGAATGCCAAAGCCAAGAAATGACTTGTCTGTGGACTTGGTCTAGATGAGTACAACAGAATCCAAGGCTATTCTACTGCCAAGAAAATTTGGGACACACTACAAGTGGCCCGTGAAGGAACAACTCAGGTGAAGAGATCAAGAGGAAACCCTACTGTACTCACAGTATGAAACTTTGCCATGAAAGATGGAGAAACCATTTAGGATATGTACACAAGGTTCACTATATTGGCAAATGAACTAAAATCTTTTGGAAGTATTATCCCCGAAGATGAAAGGATTGAGAAGATACTAACTAGGGTCTTGCCAATCACATGTGAAAGCAAGATCACTGCCATTCAGGAATCAAAGAATATTGATACATTTTCTTTGGATGTATTGATTGGAAATCTCACTATTTATGAACTTAGAAGACAAACCATGAAAATAGATGTGTATAAGAAGGAAAGGAGTACGGCACTTAGAATTATTGAAGGTTCTAACCTAGAAGATGATGAAATTGCAATAATTACCAAAGACTTCATGAAGTACCTAAGGAGAGGAAAGGGTCCTTCAAGAAGTGGAAACTACAGCAAGGCAGGATTCTGGAGAAGCAGGCTAATGATGGATGCTACATGTGTGAAAAGACTGATCACATGATCAAGAACTGTCCTTTGTGGGAGATTGAATGGAAAAAAGAAAGAGTTGAACGAAGGAACAGGTTCATCCCAAGAAAGGCAAGGGAGATAGTTTAGATGATAGCTCGGATGATGATGATGAACGAGCTCTAATGGCTATTGGAGAATCTGATGAAGAACCTGAGGTAAGTGTCTTTCAATTAAAAGATAAGATTATGTTTTTGTCTAAAGAAAGATTATCTGAATTACTGTTGGAATTAATTGATGAGTCTAAAGATGTGAATAATGAAAAGGAACAATTGTCAAAGGAGTGTGTCATTTTGAAATCAAAGTGCAAAAACCTGGAACTTAGGATTTCTGAAAATGAAAATGCTGTGTTGAAGAATCAGGTTCATGCACTTGACACATCTATTCTAGAACTAAGATCTGAAAATCTTAAACTGAAGTTAGGAACAAGTAAAAGGATAG